ATACACCGGATCGGCGGTTCCAGCGCCACGATCCCTCATCCATTACTTACACGTGGTTCGCGCACCACGAGCAATAGTCTCAAATAAAGTTCGCTGAATCCGCACTCCCAATGGCCGCGATCCCCTGCAATTTACGCCAGATTCGCGCTCGTAAGTTACGAAGGGCCAAACAAGTACCACACCAAGAGCGCGCTCGGAAGAGTCCAAGCAGCTCCACCAGGCTCCTAATGGGCAGCAGCACGTCCCAGAGATGGCCTAACATGTGAAACCTGAGGGGACCACAAGGCATCCGAGAGGGTTGCCCAGAAGAGGAAGGGACTCCGGCTGCGTGAGAGGGCCAGTGACACATCGGGGACGCACTGGCCCAGGTCAATGCAAGCTCGGGTCAGTCAGGCGTTGCAATTTGGACGCCCGAAATGGGTACGGAAAGAATGGGTACAATGCCCAACAACAAATGTTGTCCCAAACCAACAGCGGCCGCTGCTGGGCAGGCCGGCCTTCTGTCTCGAATGGTGACAGGCCGCAGCGGCGTGGACAGCGAGTCCTGGTCAGAATGAACAGGAACTGCTGTTGGGCATTGTACCCATTCTTTCCGTACCCATTTCGGGCGTCCAAAATCCTGCAGGACCCTGCGCCCAAGCCCGGGTCAACGCCTCGATGCCTGGGAAAAGGGGGCGGGCCACAATGGCCGGAGGCCTTCAGATCACAAACGCCGGCTCCAAAGGGGGCTGCGCACCGCCAAGCAGGGAGGACGCCACTCCGGAGGAAAGCAGCGATTCCTCATCCTCCTCCTCCTCCTCGCACTCCTACAGTCGGACCTGGGCCAGAAGAACATCCCTCAAGCACAGGAGACCCCCCGTCGGCCAAAGCAAACAGAACGTCCAGGGGCAGCCTCCCCAGGCTGCACAGGAGCATCCAGCAAACACGAAGAACACCAGGGTACCCTCCCCGAACCGACCTCGATCTGATACCTCGGTCCGACTGTACTTGCTTTCCTTCGTAGGCAAGGCACAGAAGCGCACAGGCGTGAGGCGTTAGCTCCACCTCCTCCTGCTCCTTGAGTCCTCCCCCTCATCACCAAGCTTATTCAAGCTCATCGTCCCCACGTGAACCGCAAATCCGAGAAACGAGCGGACGGAACAACCCGCGACGCGCCACAGAGGAGCCGGAGACACGACCTGCTGGAGGCCACCCTCCTCCCCTTGCCCCCTCTCAGTGTGCAAACTGTACAAATGTCTCTTCCCGAAGTCGTGCGAGGCTCCGTTCGTTTTTGAATGCCGATTAGCGGCACAGAGCGGCACGCGCCCCGCGCCAACCGTCCATCAATCACACCCTATTCGACGATACTGGTCGCTGCGCGAAACAGGACAACGTTCGGAGAAATTCAATGCTTCCAAAAAATTCGCCGGCCCAACGGGCCAGAGGCGTACTAAGATCTCCGGTAACTGGTTAACAGTTCTTCTAGTTCGCGCGCGCGGGGCGGCCCCTGGGGGTCCCCCGGCGAAAAGTACCCCGACCGCAGCCCGGGAAGGTCTACTCAGAGATGGTTTTGAGGGCCTTTTTTCGACACCCCTCACGAGGATTGTGGCCTCCGAGGGGGGTGCACTCGACTACCCCGCCCCAAGAGGCCCCCAAGAGCCCCCCAAGAGGCCCAAGGGGGCCCCAAGACGCCGCCAAGGAGCCCCAAGAGACCCCCAAGAGGCCCCCAAGAGGCCCCCAAGAGGCCCCAAAGAGGCCCCCAAGAGGCTTCCAAGAGGCCCATAGAGCGCTCGAGGGCCGGCGGAATGAGCGAAGCGATTGAATAAGCGAAGGGAGCGCAGGAGACACATAAGGTCCGCCACTCCAGCGGTACTCGTAACCTGTTGGACGGGACTGACTGCCAACGGCAGTCCCCCCTCTGCAATTTGAAGTGCTCAAGCCCACGGCAGGGTTCGTGTCGTGGCGACTCATGCAATGGCTTCTGACACCGCGTGAAGCGGTCAGCCTCGACCGATCGCGGTCTCCAGTAGCGCAGATCCTTCGCTGACGGCCGACTGTGGACAACTGGTGACGTTCAACCTTGGTCGTAGGGCGCCAGGGTCGCCGCCGCGTCGCTGCGGCGTGCAGAGGAAGAGTCCAGGGAGCAGATGCAGTCGGCTGTCCCGGAGGGACAGACACGAGGAGCAAGGTGCTCGAATGCCACCGGCAAGCCCTGAGCAACATGACCATCCGACGCCCCCCTCGCTCCCGTATAGTTCTCGGAGGAAGGCCAACTTAAAGAGGGGCAGCGATAGAGGGGGCTGGCATAGGAAGGGATGCATCGACCCGGACTCGGCGATACATCGCTGACAGATCGGCGATAGGCCCCCGATAGTGAAACCGCACCTTCCTCGGCAGGGTGGGGCTATCAGACCCCTATCGCGATTCATGAGCGATTAAGGGTCGATGCACCCCTCCTATCATGCCCATCCCCCACGATCGTTGCCCCTGATTGAGACAACGGTGGCTCCCCAACAAAACTCCGGTCGAATCGGTCCCCGGACCCCTCCCATCCGTAGAAGAAGACAACACGCCATAAACATAAATAAACTTTTGGCGCTCCGCGCGGATTTCTTGGATCTGCTCGGGACCCCCTCCCATTTGGACGCCCGAAATGGGTACGGAAAGAGTGGGTACAATGCCCAACAACAAATGTTGTCCCAAACCAACAGCGGCCGCTGCTGGGCAGGCGGCCTTCTGTCTCGAATGGGCACAGGCCGCGGCGGCGTGGACAGCGAGTCCTGTTCAAAATGAAAAAGAACTGCTGTTGGGCATTGTACCCATTCTTTCCGTACCCATTTCGGGGGTCCAGATCCCAGGCGCGCGGAGCGCGCCAGGGCCGGCGCCGGAGGCGCCGCCGGGGGGGCCCAGCGCGAATCCGAGGAATCCGCGCGGAGCGCCAGAAGTTTATGTTCATGGCGTTGTTTCTTCTTCGAGTCCCGGCCAAGCTCTCGGGGCGGACCCCGCCGTGGCGACGAGAGGAGGCCCCCGGGAGGCCCCCGAGAGCACGAGGAAAGCACGGCGGGGAGGGCCGCCGCTGCTGCCTCGACGGGGGCCCTCCTCCAAACTTGTCTTCCCCCTCCTTGGCCTACTGTTGGGTCGGACGTGTCTCCCTACAGGCGGATTTTGGACGAAAAATAATAATAACAAAAAAATGCTCGAAAGTAGTCGAAGAATCGTCCCAAAATATGATGTTTGACTATTTTTGGGCATTCCTCCTGTAGAGGGACACGCCCGACTTGAACCTAGTGACGGCAGGCGGGCTGCAGATGCAGACTGCAAGACGAAGCCAGGACGGGGATAAGATCGGGCGAGGTTATGATGTTCAAACCTGTTCTAGCCTTGATCACCAGAAAGACTTTCGAGCACCAGGAAAATACCCCAACTGGGGGTTTTCGCGTGTCGGGCCCTGGGAGGCGATACTCGTTCGACACTGTTTTGATCATCTTCCGGGCGCCCGAAGCATTATTCCTGGGGTGTGGTCCTTACAAACACGATGGGAGCAACAGAACTGGTGGGGATACATCGAGACTCTCTGAGATCCCGCGGCCCTGGAGAATGCCTTGGGCACCGCGGCCTTCTCAGAGCGCTCCAATCGGCGGTGGACAAACCTCCCTTTAGTAAACCTCCCCTTAGTGAAAACGACCTGGGACCGAAATCGACGGACCTGGATCCGCAAAAATGACGGCCGAGACGCCCTCTCGCGAACCGAAAACGGCCAAATCCTTAATCGACGTGTCAGGGTAGGAGGTCTATCCACCTCCGATCCAAAGCGCGCTCCGAGAGCGCTCCGGAGGAGCTCCGGAACGGATCTGTCCTCGCCTCCGCCCCGTCCGAGGCCGCCAGGGCGAGCGTCGGAGATGGGCGGGCCTCCAGTTGTCGCCGATGCCTCCCGCGAGGTCGTGGCCATCGGCGCACCTCTGCCCAGGCACGGGCGAGCCGAGCAGCCACCCTCGGCTGCACGTAGGAGTGACCCTGGGTAAGAGTGACCTTTGGTGCGCGGCTTTTTGGGGGCTGCGGGAGGGCCAAACACAAGCGCGCAAGACGCCACTGCCGCCTCGCGTTCAGCGATCGGGGACCCCAGTGGGCCCGCACCAAAGGTCACTCCGGCGCAGGGTCACTCTTACGTGTCGTCGACACCCACCGACGCGCACTCGAGCGCGCCCAGGGAAAGGCCACGAGAGAGGCCGAGCACCTCCTCGGGCAACAGCTCTGCGCCAGGACGGGGATGGGGGGAACAGGGCGAAGCCCGACGACTTTCCGCCCCGAGCCCTCTCTGAGCCTGCCGGTGTCCCTGGCTCGCGGAGGAGGGCAGCGACGAGCCCTGGGCGCGGGTTCCGTCCAGTCGCCCGGGCGTCCGGGGAGGAGGCGCACAGCGCTGCTTCTCGCCGCCCGGGGCTCTGAAGGGGGGGGGGCCTGTGCTCGGATCGGCCACTCCGAAGGGGCGTGGCCTGAAGGGGGCCGGACGATCCTCGGGACGCATGCGCGCCAACGTGTGCTTGCCCCCCGACGCCCTCTCTAAGACGCCGCAGGCCAGTGCAGCGAGGACCGAGGCAGGCTGCGTGCCATCGGTGGAGCTGCACGGGGCGAGCACGCAGTCTGCTGACACACGAGGAGGAGGAGGAGGAGGAGGAGGAGGAGGAGGAGGAGGAGGAGGAGGAGGAGGAGGAGAAAGAGGAGGAGAAATAGGAGGAGGAGGAGGAGGAGGAGGAGAAAGAAAGAAAGAAAGAAAGCTCATGGAGTTCATGCCGTCTGGCACCGAAACGCCCTGCACCTTGCAGCCTCGAAAATTGGGCTGGGAGGGGCTGGGATCCAGCGCGAGAGAACTCTGAGAGGCCTTACAACGACCAGCCACTGTACCACTACCAGCGCCCTCAGCTCGAGGCTGCACTGCCCCGCTCAGAGGCACCCCTCGGAGGGATTCGCCCTCCCTGGGGGCCCCCTGGGGGACCAGACGACCTTCCCCGCCCCCTCCCCCCCGTCCCCTTAGGGCGCGCCAAAACTACAGTGGGAGGCACCTGCCCCCGCGCCGCCTGAGAAATCTCCAAAACTGCTGGGACCTTCCCCTGAGCCCTTAATTCTAAAAATCTTACGCTTCCGGCGAATGCCGCCGGGATGCCGTGCAAGGAAGAGGAGGAGGCCGAAGGAGCGGGGCTTCGAGAGAGCTGGGCGCATGAGCCTGCTGGCCCCTGCTCGGGGCTACTGTGCCTCACTTCGACACCATCGCGGCGAGGAGGCGGCCCGCGTCCCTCTCCAGCGGCCCCTTGGGAGCTGCTCCCACGCGCCTCTTGGCCCCCTGCTTCACCATTATGGCGTCGAACAGTTTGGTGAACACCTGCATGTCCGAGTCGGTCTGGTCGAAGGCGAGCTGAATCCGGCCCTTGTCTTGCAGCACTCCCCCCGGCCCCTTGTTGCGCCTCCACTTGAAGTAGGGCACCCTCTCCGCGATCTTCAGGGGCTCCAGCGTGACGATCACATTGTTCCAGAAGTCCATCAGCGGGGCTTTGTGCTCGCCCAGCTCCTGCTTGCCGGCCCACTGGAGGAATGCCACAAAGACGTGGACATGTGGGGGCCCCCGCGACTCGAAGTCGGGACTCCCGCCCTCCTGCCTCTCCTTCCTGAGCCGCTCGCTCTCGGTGTTGTAGTCCTTCCCCGCCGCCTCGAGGGCCAAGCCCACGTGCTCGTCGCCCTTGAGGTCCACCTCCCAGGTGCGGTACACGGTGCCGACGACCTCGGCCAGGCAGCGCGAGTCCGAGAGCACGAGCTTGGTTAGCACCACGAGGAGCTCGCGCATGGCCGCGTCGCCCCCCTTCTTGGCCGCCGCCGCGATCTCCTTCCGGGCTACCTTGGCCTCGGCGGCGGCGTCGTCGCGAGACTCGGGGCCCCTTTTCTTCATCCAGGCTGGGGTCTCCATGGCGGCTGTGAGCGAGGCCTCTCGCGCGAGGGAGCGCCACGGGCGCCGGCAGGTGCTTGACGAGATGGCTACAGAGCTCGTCCTCGTCTGCAGCCGTGACCTGGCATATACGACACTCGAGCGACGATGGCGGCGCTGCCGCCCTGAACGTTGACCCCCCCATGGACGGGCAGCGACCTGACAGCATAGCCGTCAGCAGGTGTCTCGCCGCTGTCACCGGCGTCGCGAATATCCCTCGGCACACAATGCAACGACTTGACATGGTTAAAACGTGTGCGAGACTGCGAACCTGATGGTGATGGCATCGATGATTGATCAGGGCCTTCTTGGATTCATAGGCCTTCCCGCATTGCGAACCGTCCTCGAGTTTCCAGTCGCAGACCCACTCGTGCGCAGGGGGAGGGGGAGGCACCTCCCCCTCCACTGGCCCCTCCTCCTCCTCCTCCTCTTGGTACCCTGGCGGCGGGATCTCCACGCGCATCGGTCTCCAGCGGATCTCTGTGAAATCCATGGCAACGAAATCCTTGGCGATCTCCTCCTCCACCAGGCGGCCGGGTGCCGCGGCGAGCTCGTGCAGCACGGACGGGTCGTCCATCATGGGGATCGCCTTCTCGAAGTCGCTCTGAATCCTGCGCGCCCACGGCGAGGCTGACGCTGTGAGGACGCCACCAATGCAGGGGACCTCGTCGAGCAGCCCGATCTTCACGAACAAGGCGCAGAGCTCCTGCTGGTGAGCGGCCGGTCGCCGTGCCCAGCTTTGGTACCACCTCAGCCTCCGCACCCATAGCTCATGGCCTGCAGGCGCCAGTTTCCAGTAATGGAGCACCTTCTCGTTGGTCCATCGCTTGATGTGGCCGTTGGACGTCGTCGTCGCTCGTCCCTTCATCGCGATGCGCCCGAAGTGCGCGAGCCGCCCGTCCATGGCCTTCTCCTGCGCGGGCGTCGTCATCATGGCCTCCATGCCGCTAAGGAGGGCATTCTGAGGGAGGCTGATCAGCAAGGTGCGCTTGAACTGCCACGGGACCGAAAGGCCCCAGATCCCTCCTGCACTGTAGAACGCCGCCGACGCCGCGTTCAATCGGAAAGTAAGCTCCGTCCCCGCCGTGCCCTGGAGATTGATCCTGGGCCCGAGGTACCTCGTCTCCTCCTTGAGCTCCCCCCCAGCTTCTTTGTCAAGAAACGGTTGATCCAGAGCCTGCACTGCTTCACGCTCTCCCCGCACAGCCCGGGCAAAAACTCCTGCTTTGAGATGTTCTGGGCGTACCCCACCTTCTTAAGCTCCCTGTTCAACACCTCGTCGGAATAGGCCAGGCTCTCAACGAACTCCGATATGCGGCACGCTTCTGGCACCACGTCGAATCGCAAAAGGTCGTCAGCATATTTCCAGAGTGCCAGGTCTGCGTGGAATGACCCCCACGCTGCGGACAAGGACTCTGTCGGGGCCGGGGCAATTTCATCCAGCCACGTGCGAAGAGGTCGGCGGAAGGTCCCCATGAAGAGGCGCACCGTGTACGGGTCCCCCATCAGGTCGCCTTCCCCTGTTTTGATAGTCGCGCTACCCTCCCTGCATGGTAGGGTGATGGCTGCCTCCTCGAACCTCTGCTTGGCGAGCAACTTGTCCTCGGGCCGGGCGTGCTGTTCGACAGTCGCCGCCAACTCGGACCAGTCACCGCACGCGAATGCATTCGAGAGGTCCTTCAAACTCGCCATGTGGGAGCAGCCGCCCTGAGCGAGTCGCCACGACACCACCTGCACCCCAAGAATCGCGTCCTCGCGGCGCCGAGCGGCCACGAACCCATGGTCGAACTCGTCCGGGGGCACGCGCAGCACGTCCGCGAAGAAGAGCTTACCGATCGTGCTCATGACGTGCACTACCCGCTTCCCCATAGGTCCGGCCTTGCTGCTCTTCCGCAGCGCGCACCCCTGGCTGTGCTGCCACGTCGTCGGCACCCGTCCTGTGCGACGGACGCAACGGAAGCCATCCGTCAGCATGTCCGTGAATATCTGCATGTCGGGCAGCTCGGTGTCGTAGCCCACGCCGTGGGTGTGCTGCACAGGGAACCGCGCAGGATGCAGGCACATGAGCCATAGCTCCGCGGGAGCCGTTCCGTCGGGCACGGCTCGCCTGCGAGGCACGCGAAGCACCCGTTTGCGCACCCGCTCCACATCCTCGTCGGCCAGGGCCTTGTGGATATCCGTGATCGGCGGCGCCGTGTCCTGCTGCTGTGCACGTGCCCACTCCTCCCAATTGATCTCCGCCGCGCTCATGCCACCATCCGCACCCTTCTGCGCCCAATGCGAGATCCACTCCGAAGCCGTTGGTGGAGCCTCCCGGATGAGTCTATTGTCGCGCCGTTTCGGCCCGAACCTGCACTTGGCCGCCTGGCGGCTCAGCTGCATGGCGCGCCCGGGTCTGCGCGTCTTCCAAGCCTGGTCGATCTCCTCCTCCAGCGCCTCTCGTCGTTGCTGGGACCACCGCTGGCGTTCTCGCCGGAGTCGTTGGCTGACCTCCTTCAGCTCCGCCTCCACCCTCTCGAGATCCACGCCCGCACTCATGAGGCCTCGCAGCCGGCAGCGTTCCTCGAGTAGCCCACGTCGTCGCGCAGCCTCCTCCGAGTAGGCGTCTGACTTCTTCCCGCTCCCGAAGACCTTCTTGCCTTGCCCAACCAGGACGCGCTCCATGTACTGGAAAACATCGTCCGGATTCGGGCGCGTGATGAGGGGCCGCCATGTCCACTCTTCGTCCTCGATCTCCTTCTGGACAGCCTCCAAGAACTCCTTCCTGCCCGCCCCGCGGCGCACTCCCTCCATCACCTTGTTGTAGTCCCACTGCGGAGGGTTGGGAATGCGACCAGACCCCAAATCTTTGTTCCACAACAGCTCGACGAGCACCGGCAGGTGGTCACGGGGCGCTGGGCCACGGATGGCCTGCAGCCGCGCGCCCAACCGCCAGAGAGGGTGGCAGCGAACGATGTTGTCCCTCACGCCCTCCGCGATCAAGCAATAGTCGATGAGGCTGCTCGACGTGGCCGAGTAGTAAGTATGTTCCATCGCGCCAAGTGTATTAGCAAACACGAGGTGATGCCGCTCAGCGAGGTGACGAAGACGCTCTCCCGCTCCCTGCCGTCGGGCTTCTCTCGCAACCGATGGTCCTACCGTCCTCGAGTCAACTGCACACCATTTCCCCGACTCCTTGGAAATGCCGACCCCGTCGTTGGCGTCCAGGAATATCAGGGGTTGGCATCGCAGGGGAATCTCATCGATCACCTTCGACATCCAATCTTTGAGGATCTTCACCGTCGTCTTGTACAGCGCGACCTCGCCTAGCACTCTCGGTTGGGGAGGAAAGTATACAGACATCACCATCACGTCCAGTGCGCCTCGCTTAACGCGCAGCGCAAGGCATCTTCCTTCGGCGCCCCTCGGGCTCTGCCACGAACGTGTGACGTCGGACATCTGAAATCGAGGCCCAAATCCAATCAAGCAACCTGCACTTGAATTGGTAAACGGGCCTGGGACGACCATACTCTCGAACATCCACCGGCCCTGCACTCGACTCGTCAGCACCTCTGAAGCACAGCGGGCGGCCGCGCGGGTACCACAGAGCACGAGGAAGTCTATCGCCATCGTCTGCATGACTATCTCCTCCAGGCGGCGGCCGCTCGCCCAGAGGGGATTCCATCCAATCGCACGCAACATCGCCTGGCCGCTGGCAATTATCGGTCGGTGCGGATCGCCATATCCAAGCCGAACGGCGGCCTGGTCGCCTGGGGTTCCCTCGAACCCTGGCGGCGACTGGAGGAGGAGGAGGAGGAGGAGGAGGAGGAGGAGGAGGAGGAGGAGGAGGAGGAGGAGGAGGGAGGAGGAGGAGGAGGAGGAGGGAGGAGGAGGAGGGAGGAGGAGGAGGGAGGGAGGGAGGAGGGAGGAGGGAGGAGGGAGGAGGGAGGAGGGAGGGGGGAGGGGAGGAGGGAGGTGGAGGGAGGAGGGAGAGGGAGGAGGGGAGGAGGGAGGAGGGAGGAGGAGGAGGAGGAGGAGGAGGAGGAGGAGGAGGGAGGAGGCAGGAGGGAGGAGGGAGGTGGTGGAGGGAGGTGGAGGGGATCCTGAGGGTCATCGAAGGGTGTGGTTTGCGACCCGCGCCTGGGGGGGCGGGCGAGGGCACATCGACAGAGGTCTCCGCCGCGCCCCGACGAGGGCTCGTCAAACGTCTGGCGCAACGCGGTGGCCCTTGGAACCCCGACGCGCGCGCGCAGGTCTTGGGGACGGACAGTGTCACTGTTGGGGGTTCTGTCCACTCCCGATGGGTCTCCGAGTGGGGATGCCACCCTGGGACAGAAGCACATCAAGACGGAGCCAGGACGACGAGGATGACTTCGCTGAAGGGTTTGAATCGAGAACCTCTGACATCCCGCGGCTCTGGAGGATGTCTCGGGCGCCGCTTGGGGATGGACAGAACCCTCTTTAGCCAAACGTGGGCTAGTGAAAGCGACCTCGGGCCCAAACGTGGCGGGCGCAAGCCCAGCAAATGACGGCCGCGGCGCCCTCTCGAGAACCGAAAACGGACAATTCACTAATCGACACCCGTTGCAATCGCCGCTTGGAGGCCGAGCGGCAAGGGAATCTCAGAGGCCGGTCTTCTCGCAGACTGCTCCATCTTCCCCGCTGCATCGAAGAACCCCTGCGGCTTGCCTGTCGCACGGTGTTGGCATGTTTTCTCGCAGACCGGTGTTCGCTTGCCTTCAGCTCGCCTGCTGGCCTGCGTTCAGCTCGCCTGAGCTCGCCCTTGCAAAACCTGCAATCAGCCAACTGTGCTGCAGCATGCTTGTCCTTCAGCTTGCGCATGCCATTTGCATGTCCATGGTATTCTGCTCGCCACGGTGAACTTACAGCTAGCTCATCATGACCGCAACCGTGGCTCGAAAAACAGAATCGGGTGTCCTGAGGCCCTTCTGGGCCTCGAAACCTCTAACGACACCAAGCCCTGGATGTCTGGACCGGCCCGGGCATTTTCAGGCGCTCAGTGGGTTGCGTCGCGTGACTTTTCAAGAGGCCTCGAGCTCGAGAGCGTGGTTTGGAAACCGCACTTCCATCATGGTCAACGACGGCCCCAACGCTGGTCCTGGAGCCCTCTTGGGCACAACTTGTGGAACGCCCCGAGCAGCAACATATGTAGTCCAAAACACACAGCGGCCGCTGTTGGCAGGAGAGCCCAGAATCGAATCGATAAGTCGGATCGGCGATCGAAATAAATCGGATCGGCGGAAATCGGAAGCGGAGTCGGGAATAGTCGAATCGGCAGACATCGGCAGGCTAGTAGGCCTCCAATAAGAAATCGGAGCCCAAGTCGGAATCTCAAGTCGAATCGAATCGGAATCGGAAGCCATCGAAATCGAATCGAATCGAATCGGAGGAATCGAAACGAACCCTGTCTGTTGGTCAGACGACTCGCGTTTCAAATAGACAACGTCTGCGGCCGCGTGCCAGCACGCGCGGAAGCGTGCATCCAGCGGCCTGGCGCGGCGCACCGTGCCAGAGCCCGTGCGCGGAGCACGGCGGCTGGCGATCAGCGGGCGACCCCCCTCCGCAGCCGCAGCCCGAGCTGCAGCCGCAGCGCGAGCCGCAGCGCGAGCCGCAGCCCGAGCCGCAGCCCGAGCCGCAGCCGCAGCCGCAGCCCGAGTCGCAGTCCACGCAGCTGCGAAAAGAACCCGACTAAGTCGTGCGCCGCCCCCTGCGTGCCTGCGGCCGCGCATGTCGCCCGAGCCTGCCTGTCTAAAAAAAGCGTCATCGTCGCGGCCAGGGACAGCATCAATGATTGCAAGTAAGTTCTGAAAGGTTTTGGCATTTGCTTCTTTTCAGCCTCCCGACGGTCCGGGGACGGCCCAAGAGGCTCCCGAGATCGCCCCAAGATAGCCCCGAAAGCCTCCAAGATGCCCTCAGGACGGCCCAAGGAGCCTCCGAGGCGGCCACAGGAGGGCCCCCGCCCTGGACAGGCGAAATGACGAGCGAGCGCCGAGGGCAACGTGAGGTGGTCGGCCCACCCGCTCAGAGGACGTCCGTGGGCTCAGCGGCCCGCCAGGGAGCCAGCCGCGGTTGCATCGCTGAGCGATGGCGATGATGATGAAGATGACGATGGTGTATGTGGTACGGTCGGGGCCTTGACCTCAGGAACCCTAAATAAGGAACGAGGCCCCTTTTTCCAAGAAGTTGAACTTCGATTTCCGATCGAAAACATAAGGGAAACCTGAGGCAAGCTGCGAAACACTTAAGAAACGCGGAGCCCCTCCCCAACGAAAAGAGTTCCTTCTTCAGAGCCCCGACTGTATGTGGTAGCGGCGGTGGCAGACATTCTCTTGGCCATGCTGATGATTATAATTTTCCTCGTGCGCGTTCTGTGTCTCGCGGTGTTGATGTCAACTCGCCGATGCCGCCGCTTCCATGGCCACGGCCTGGACGATAGTGTTGGTTGCGACCGCTGCTTTTCTTTTTCCGACGATCATGGGCACGGGCGTCGGAATCGCTCATGGCGGGCGTTAGGCTGGGGTGGGCGACATGCGAACGGTGGGCAGCAGAGGGGGTTGGCGAAGTGACCGCTTCTCTGCTCGCTTCTGGGCACTTCCCTGCTCCTTTGCTGTTTGCCTTCGGCACTTCCCTGCTCTGCTCGCTTCTCGGCACTTCCCTGCTCTGCTCGCTCCTGTGCAGTCGGGGTGGACTGGAGAGGACACGCGAGAGGACACGAGACCATTCTGAGGGCCACCTTGCCGCAGGACTGTAGAAGGCACGGGTCGCGAAGCACAGGACACTGACTTGGCAGGGCCGACCTGCTGATCGACCCCGACTGTACCGCACGGGCCTGCCGCCGAATTCACTACGTTCCCACTGCGCCTTAGTAGTAAGTAGGCACGCTTAGCAAGTAGTAAGTAGTCAGTTGTGAGTAGTAACGCACAGCAGGCCCGCGAAAACAACTACTTAGTAAGTCGCTGCTCTTATGGCACCCGAGGCACGCTGCAGGCTCTGAACCTGACGGTCCGCCCAATCTCAAAGAAGAGGTTGGCGAACGGGCCGCGTGCAGCCGTTTCTCTCGAGCGCCTCCAGGCGCGGAGGGCAAGCCTGCCGTGATCCACGGAAGCCCCTTTACGGTGGGAACCGACACCAACCGACGTAGGCTTACAGTACCACCAGGCGAATGCGACTCTCCTCTCTCCCCTGACCCTTCGGCGGTGGACAGACCTCCCTTTAGTAAACCACCCTTCAATGAAAACCGCCTGGGACTCCAGCCTGGGACCGAAACCGTTGGACCTGGATCCGCAAAAATGACAGCCGCGACGCCCTCTCGAGAACCGAAAACGGCCAATTCGCTAATCGACGTGTCAGGGTAGGAGGTCTATCAACCTCCAAACCCTGTGCGGAAGACATCCGGCCCCCCTGCGCGCCCTGCTTTCTGGCGCGCAGGATCGGCCGAGTCGGTTTGCCCGAGGTGTGTTGTGCAGCCTGCTTGTCTTCGCGGTGTTCCCAACAGTGGTCAGCTGGCCGCAGCGTGGGCCTCGTCTTCGAACCGGAGCCGTGGTCCCGTCGTCGAGGACGGTACTCTCGCGCCAGCGCGGGCCACTCTCCTTTATCCCGATGCTGGTTCATCGTTGTCCGCCCCCTCGTTCTCACTCCTCCGCCTTCCCCTGGTCCTCCTACTCCTGCCGCTCCCTCCAGTCCCGCTCGTGCTGCTGCTCTTTGTCGTCTTCCTCCTTTCTCCTCCTCCTCTTCCTCCTCCTCCTCCTCCTTCTCCTTCTGCTCACCCTCCTGCTCACCCGCCACCTCCTCCTCCTCCTCCTCCACGTCCTCAACCTCTGTACGCAGCTCTCCTTTCGCGATAGCGCATAAAACGATGAAGTATTGTGTGCTTCCAGGACGGCCCAAACAGATCGCCAACGCAGTCCAACACCGCGCCGAGATGGCGTAAGGTAACCCAGCGACGATCCAATATAGCAACGAGACGGCACTCGGCGCACCCAAGACGGCCTACAAATCAACCAGTGGTGCGTCGGAGGCATGATTTACTTCAAAGAACCGTGCCGTTCCTTATCGCATCGGCATCGCCTGAATGCTAGTCCACGGGCACTCCACTCTCGTCCAGCCAGATCCGTCCCACCTCATGTCTCCTTCAACCATCTCCCCGACAAACTTCTCCTGAGCATAATCCCGACCAGTCTTTCAAAAACGAGTTTAGCTCCTGTGACGAAGGCCTCGAAACCAACAACTACGCCCGCAAACAACATCCCACCAGACATCTGGGCGTCGGTGGGACAAAGGAGCCTGTCTTCCAACCCCCGTCTGCCCCTACGGAACATGATTTGCCGTTGCTCCGTATTCATGAACACCTGCCCGCTCGACCGACGGCCGACCCGAGTCAAAGACACCCCCCAACCATTCCGGTCATCACGATAACTACCAGACAACATTCATTTGAGACATGACCTGGATCATCTTCGGGCGTCCCGCCCTCACGGTGTATTGGTCTGTTACACGCTGGCAGGGACATCATATCACCCCGTGTGTGCAGGCCCACCATCCCTCTCAGAAAAAAAAGGGACTGCAGTGCGCACGTGGCAGCAAAATCCCCCGACCCCTTGGAGTGCCCTCAGCGTGTGAGATGTAGTGCCCCTCCCCCGACCACTCCGCCCATGCCCTGGTCTGGTCGATTTGGAGGAAAGGGGGGTCCGCCCAGATCCCACGGGCCCGGCCCCAGCGCACCATGGGAGGACAGGGGCTTCCACAGCGAGCCCAGAGGGCCCCAAGAGGCCCCCAGGACAGTCCAAGAGGGCCCCCAGTCGCCGAAATCTCCTCCAGGACGACCAGGCAGCCTCCAGACGGGCCAAGACGCCCCCAAAACGCCCCCAGGGACCTCCTAGAGCCCTCCCAAGAGGGCCCCACGAGGCAACATTCATTGATTCTCAATCCATTGTTGAAAGATGCTAGCGTTCTCGCCTCTTCGGTTCCCGACTCTCCACGACGGCCCAAGAGGCTCCCAAGATCCCCCAAGACGGCCCATGCGGCTTCCAAGAAGGCCCCTAAACAAACAAAGAGGGCCCCCACACAGCACCACAGACGGCCCCCGAGAAGCTCCAAGATGCCCCCCAATAGGCCTCCACGCAGCGCCCCAGAGGGCACCAAGAAGCCCCCAAAAGGTGCCCCAAAGGCACTCAGGAACAACACACCACGACCACCCGTTCCTCAAGGGGTCGGTGGTGCGGCACAAGCAACAAGAAAATGTCACGGCAAAATTACTTCCGATTTCTCAAAGACGCCTGGGCCGTCTCCCCGCGGGCTGTGACCCACGGACGGATGCAGTAGTCGTAACGAAGACGACCCCGACGTTGGGCATGTACGGTTTAGTGACTCCTGTGGAGCTCCCTGAGGACATTTACCCTGGGCTCCACATGCCCATTCCGTCTCTCTGGCAGTGCCGTGCTGGTCAGGGTCTCAAAGCCCATGGCTGCCCCGCAGTTTCACTGGGTGGGCAAAGCCCAAGCAGTTTCACTGGCTGTCCCGCAGCTTCACTGGGTGCCGTAGCCCAGGCTCCGCGCGGAACAAACGGCGCGCGCCGTGTGCGCCCCGCCGTTCCCGTTCCCGCGCGGGAACGGCTGCCGCCGCCACTGCCACCGTCGGCGTCGTCGTTCGCGCTGCTGCGTTCGCTCATCCGTCGCCTTGCTCGCACCGCGTGTCGTCCTCGCCATCGTCGCTCGTCGTTCTCCTGCGTCGTCGTCGGTGGGCTTCGTTCTGTTCCTGGACATCGTGCCCCCTCCGCGGGCGCGCGCGAGGCCAAGCCAGAATCCTAGACCTGTGTGGTCCTCCTGCTCCTCTCGTTATCCCTGTACTCCTGCTTCTGCTGCTGCTGGTCCTTCTCCTCCTCCTCCCCGGTCCTTCTCCTCCTCATCCTCCTCAACCTTGTCAACCTCTCCTTCCTCATCGTCCTTCTCCACTCGGACACGACAGGCGGATAGTTCAAGAATCCAGCGCAGTGGGAAGGGATCATGAGGACGGGCAGGATGTCAGAGATCTATGCGCCTAGCTGGCCGTAACACCCTCTTTTCCCACACCTTGGGCGCCCGAGTTATCCAGGGCAACTCGGGTCCGGGGTAACTCGGGTTTGGATTCCCGAAAAAGGAACCCGAGTTAGCCCTGACCCGAGTTACCCCTGATGAATTGGGGCTCTGGGCGCCCGAGTTATCCGGGGTAACTCGGGCCCGGGGTAACTCGGGATCGGAATCCCGAAAACAGAACCCGAGTTAGCCCTGACCCGAGTTACCCCTGATGATTCGGGGCTCTGAACACCTGCCCTCGGGACCATCCAGTGCACTGGGCGGGGATGCAGGGCGAAACACCAGAACTTTCAAATGTGAACACGCGGTCTCTTCTACGCGGCTCCGGCTCGTGCCAATTGAAAAACGCCATGCCACACACAACAATTCCAGACGTCCAGGAGACGGAGGCAGAGAGGAGGGAGCAAAGAGAGTCGGGGAGGGACGGCAAGAGGGAGAGAGAAGGAAAAGGGCCAAGAACTCGAATCACTTGATGTTCTCGAATCGCCGGCCCCTGGAAAGACCCCTTCTCCGGGACCGGCTTTCCTCTGAAGGTGCCCGACGGCCTAGGGGTCCGAAAACAGCCCCCAAGCGAAACGGCTGAGTATTGGCCGGCGGAATGATCCGCGCGGGAGGAGTGCCAGTTCGAGAGAAGCGTGAGGCTCCAATGTTGCCTACTGCCTACCCGCTGCTCTGATCGAAGCTGCTGGCACCCGTCAGGGCGTACTGCATGCAAAGAGGCCGGCACAAAGGGTATTTCAGTCGCTGTCCTGGGAGGTTGCCAGCCGCTGCACTTCGCACCGTGCCATACTCGAGCCGCTGATCGAAATCATTCGGCGAAGGCCCCCATTCTGCGTTGAGTTGTCCGTGATGGAGGAGGGCGAGGGAAACCAGTGTAAGCCCAGCAACTCCGAAAGCCAGCTAAGTTTGCGCATGCGGCAACTCGGCGTTGACGTCTGACACTGGGTTGACCCAGGCCTCGGAACAAATTAGCGAACACTCATGCCACATTCATCCGTCAACGCCTCCTCATCCCCCCAATGTTCGAAGTTGGCTGTGGGTCTGATGCGATGCACTTGGACCGCAGTGTCCCCCGCGCGTGCCAACATTGAGTTTGGGGGGGAGGGGGAGTGTTCAGTAATTGTTCCCCTCTACCGTCGCTCAAGCTTGAGCGATCAGCGGCTGTGCGATCGGCGTTCAACCTTCAACGCTCGGGGCGGAGTCGCTGCCACGTCGGCGCGACACCAACCTGCCGCATGCACCTGCAGACATACAAAGTCTGATAAGCATGTGTAAGACGCGATCACGCTGAATGCACGTCTCATGGCGACCAGAAGGAGGACGGTCAGTGCGAGCTAAACTCTTCCCGACACACAATATCCGCCACTGTGCCAAAGGGACTGACCGCAGTGTTTTTTCAGGTCCCTGGGGATCTGAGGACCCCCAATACTGAATGGCGAATACTCTTCGAGGGCCTCGGACCCCTGATTTCCAGGCTGTCCCTCGCGCTCCTGAATGTTCGCGCGGGACCGTGGTTTCAATTTCAGCGTTCCAGCGTACCCTGAGTTCCTCCAGGTCCAGGGCGGCCTTGGGTCGTCTTGGGCACCCGTGGGGCTGGCTCAGGAGCCTCAGATGACTGCTGGAACCTATGCTCGAGGTTTGTGAAATTGTCGGGAACTCGCGATCTCAGTCTCCCCAGCGACCAAGACGGCCCGAGAAGCCCCGCTAGCTGAAGGCGAACCTCACGCATGACAAAAGCGTTCTCAAGGCAAGGCAAACCTGACGAGCTACGTGCGAACACAAAGAAGGCAAGCTATATACTAACCACAGGCAATGAAGCAGTACGTTCGTAGAGCGCTTAAGACAAGCTTGAAGCACATCCAGATGCTAACACATTGCAGCTATTTGAGACATTGAGCCATGCATAGGCTAAAGACACGCTGCATACACACGCAAGGGAACAAACATCGACATAGTAAGCCCAACGCGAGCCACATGGTTGCAAGATGGGCCAGGACATTCTGAAAGAGCCAGGAAGGGGCGTCCTCAACGAACCTGGAAACAATGTGCTATAGTTGCAGGGCCCGTTGAGCAGAAAACGTCAAGACCCCACAGGCAAAACCTTATTAGGAAATACTGGCAACCTCCTGAACGCAACTAGTGCAAATCTTGTATTTCAGACGCGCTGTATTGCGCCGTCTTGGAGGTGGGGACAGAACATGCACGACACTCGTCAACACTGAGACACGGAGAACAGAAACAGCAGGCAGGTGATCTCCTGCAGCGGCTGGGCTCAGTGGACGCCCACGAAGGCGACGGCCTCGGAGAGGGCGAGCGACTCCGACTCCCGGGATGCCGGCGTGGCGACGAAGAGGTCGGACCACTCCTGGTGCGCGCCTCCTGGCCCGGCTCTCATCGGCTGGCAGTGCTGGCGCAGGTCTCTGGCATGCGGCGTGCGGCCCTCGGGCCGCCGCATGCCGAGCAGCCCTGCCGCGACCGCCACGAGGTCTTCGCGGAGCTCCTTGTCGCTCGCCTCGCACAGCTCGCGCATCGAGCGCAGGAGCCTCGCCAGGCCCTCCCGGTTCTTGAACAGGATCTCCTGCACCGCCGGCGCCTGGTGCGGGTTGGCGACGAAGATCTTGAATATGTGGAACGCTCCCACCTTGACCATCGTTGTGGGGTGCAGCAACAGCGTCATCTGTAGCTTCAGGCTCCTCGCGCTCGAGCCGTACCTCGCCATCACGCCACCGAACCCGGGGCTGAGCAGCACACGGCTCAGCACGGAGAGCGCCTGCCTCTTCGTCGCGTAGTCGGAGCACTGCAAGAGGTCGTGGTAGACGAGGAAGAACTCCCGGAAGTTCTCCAGCAGGTATGCTGCGGATGCCTCTGCGCCGCCCAGCAACAGCTCCTGGAGTGCGGCGAGCGCGGTGGAAGCCACCTCGAAGCAACACGGTGCGCGCGCCGTGGAAACCAACCTCATGGGCGCGCCGCCCTCGAGAAGCAGCTCTGCCACCGCCGCGTCCCCCGCGCACGCAGACAGCAATTGCCCACACAGGAAAGCCAGCTCGCCGCTTCTGCAGCCGCACAGGAGCAGATCGGCAACCTGGGGCTGGCCGCGCAAGTAGCAACACACCTGCTGGCGGGCGGATACGCCGTGCCGCAGCCCGGCCGTGAGAACGTCCTCCACGAGCCCCGCGGCGGCCTTCCTCTCCTCGAACCCGATGCCGTCGAGCGCCGCTAATAGCACGGCGGGTAAGTCCGCCGCCAGCAGCCGCGCCAGCAGCTGGGATTGCGCCCCACAGGAGGGAGACTTCGCTGCCAGCTGCGTCCGCGCGCCGACGAGCAGCGCAGCCAACTGCCTGCCCTTCTGGCATTCTGGCCGCGCCGCGGACGAGCTGCGCTCTTCGCCGACGAGCAGCGCAGCCCAACAGCCGCTTGACCGATTCTTCTGGCCTGCCGCCGCTTCCGCAAGGCCCGCAGCCTCCAGGCCGCGCAAGAGCGCGCGGCAGGGCTCGGCGGCCCTGGGAGGCGTCTGGGCTGCCCCGGCATTGGGGGGCGGAGCCATGCCCGCTTCCAGCCAAAATGGCCTGAGCCCTTTGAGCCCCAAGTGGCTCTGAATGGTGATGTCGGCCAGCCTACAGTAAGGGCCCGACCACCAGAAACCTTCCACAAGAAACCCAACCCGGAGACCCCAGGACTTCCATTGATTTTTGGTGTGGGAACGTCACGCTTTCCATCGCAAAACCATCGAAACCCAAGAAACCCAGGGCACCCTGGAGGCAAGCAAGGCGATTCTTGGCATGGCCCCCCACTACACTGGCGGGAGCTGACAAGAACAACACAGCTCGCTCACGGCCTGGACTCCTGGAGCACCACCCTCGGCGAACGGGTTGGCTGGAGTGATTGGGGGCACTGCCGCCGCATGTTGGAACACAGTACTGCGGCGCAGTCGCGCTCCATGGCAGTAACACGCCCACCAAAACTGTCAAGCCTGCTAAACGAACAGAGGGTCGAGGACAGGCCCTGTAATGCCTCCCGTTGTGATCACACGCCCATGGAAAACACAGCGAAGCAGGCCTTGCTCGCAGGTCGCGGCACTCTGCACTCCGCCGCGCGGCTCTCTGCGAGCCGCTATTACGAGTGGTTTGGAAGGTTCTTGTCCGCCCACATCACCAACAGTAAAAGTGAATACCAATATAAACGCACACACATCCATATACACATGTGTACTTGCATGCATGCATGCATGCATGCATACATGCATACATACATACATACATCGATGCATGCATTCATATGTATACATAGGCATACATACACACATATACATATGTGTATATATATGTATATGTATGTAAATGCAGGCCCCCGCGCACACCATGAACCGCCCCTTCATTCCTCTTGGAAGGTGGCAAAACAAGGGGGCGTGTCAGGTGCGTGCGCAGGCTGTGAACGCGGATGTTTCGGAGTGGGTAGGTTCGCGTATAGGAAGCGAAGGCTGGCTGGGTGTTGTGTTATAGACGGAGGGAGTCGAGTAGAATATCAGTTTGCAATTCTGATTGGGGAGGGGAGGCTGTTGAGTTCTGGGTGTTGCGTCAGAGACGAGGGTTGGCCAGCACTGGATGTTGTGTTGCAGATGGAGGGAGTTGAGTAGACGATTATTTGAAAGTTCAGCTCGGGAAGGAAGCCAGTTGAGTATTCGGTGGTGTGTTGATAACGAAGGCTGGCTAGTACTGGATGTTGTGTTGTAGATGGAGGGAGTTGGGTAGAAGTGCAGCTTTGGGAAGGAGCCTGTTGAGTAATTGGGTGTTGTGTTGGAGGCGAATGCTGGTTAATAATGGGTGTTGAGTTGGACACGAAAATAGTCGAGCACAATGTTATGTTCAATAACGGCTTGGGGAGGGGAGACCTGTTGAATATAGGGTGTCGCGTTGGAGACGAGACTGTGAGTACTGGGTGTTGTTGTAGACGGAGGGGGTTGAGTAGAAGGCTATGTCCAAGAGCAGCTTGGGGAGGGAGCCTGTGGAGTATAGGGTGTTGCGTTGGAATCGAAGGCTACTTAGTACTTGGTGCTGTGTCGTAGACGGAGGGAGTTGAGTAGAAGGATGTGTTCAACCACAGCTTGGGGAGGGAGCCTGTTAAGTGTAGGGCGTTGTGTTGGAGACCAAGGAGGGTTAGTACTGGATGTTCTGTTGTAGACGGGCGGGGGGAGTAGAAGGATATGTTCAACAACACCTTGGAGAGGGAGCCTGTTGAGTATTGGGTGCTGTGCTGGAGGTCATCCAAGAAACACGATGGAACCCGTACACCCCCCAACCTGAACTCTCGGGTGGTCCAGTGCCTTCGGGTCGGCCTGGGGTGACTTGGCGTGTCAGTAGTATTAGGTCGGGCATGTCCTCCTATCGGCGGTGGACAAACCTCCCTTTGGTAAACCTCCCCTTAATGAAAACGGCATGGGACCGAAACCGTCGGACCTGGACCCGCAAAAACGACGGCGGCGACGCCCTCTCGCGAACCGAAAACGGCAAATTCCTCAATCGACGTGTCAGGGTAGGATGTCTGACCACCTCCGATCCTACAGGCGGATTTCGGACGAACAAGGAAACATACGCGACAAACCATCGAACATAGTAAACATGGTCGAAATATCGTCCCCGTATCATCTTTTTTATATTTGTGAATGCCCCTCCCGTAGAGGGACGTGCCCGACTTAACACTAGTGTTAAGTCGGGCCTGTCCCCCCTACAGGGGGATTTTCGACGAACAATAAAACATACCCTCATAATGCCCCTAAAAGGTCCCAAAATACAACAAAAAAAAAAAAAGTCTCCAGACTATTTTTGGACTATTTCTTGGCTACTTTGGAGGGTATTTTTTATTTTTCGTCAAAGATCCCCCTGTATGTGGACAGGCCCGACGTACCATGAGTGCCTTCCTGCCGGCCTGGGGCCCACATGAAGGGGGCTCCCCGCGAGGGCCTTCCGCCAACCAAAGTGGACGCCCGCGCTCCGGCGGCCCGCCCCCGTAAGAGGGGTATGAATCGTAAGGAATTTGTTCATAGAGAATCCCCCCGTAAGAGGGACAGGCCCGACATGACATGAGTGCCTTCCTGCCGGCCCGGGGCCCACACGAAGGGGGCTGCTCGCGAGGGCCTTCCGCCATCGGGGATCTTCTGACCCGGGTCAATCCAGACCCGGGTCAGCAGGAAACCAAAAAACTGAAATGCAGGAACAAAAATGCAACGCAGGTCCTCGCAAACCCGGGTCAGCCAACAGACGCGGCCGCCTCGCGGCCACGAGCGGCTCGCTAACCCGGGTCAGCCAGAGGGGGTCTTCGCAGGATTCTGCAGGATCTGGCGCCCTGGCTGACCCCCGTTTGCACTGACCCCCGTCTCGAGGCTCCCGACACCAACCAGAGGCCCGCGCTCCGGGGCGTTCCCCCCCCGCCGCCGCCGCGCCGCGGCGGCGCCGCGAGCCTGCCGAGGCCGAGCCCGTGGGCCACGCCTGGTCCCGGGGGGGGGGGGGGCCTCTCGAGCTTTCGGTCGGGCCGGGCGAAAGGGGGGGATAGCAAGGGGGGGTTGAGAATCAGCTCACGTAGCTGATTTTCCCGGCGCCTCCCGGCGCCGGGGGCGGCTATGTATCGAGGAAGGGGCCCCTCGGTGGGGCCGAAACCAGCTGCATGCAGCAGATTTCGTACCCCCCCCCTTTCCCAATCGCCCCTTTTCGTCCAGCCCGAGGTACGTCCCCCTACAGGTTGACGTTGGGCGAAAAATTAAAAAAATACAAACCAACCAAAAAAAAGGCAAGCCTAACTAAATGCTCCAAACATCGCCCCCCGAATAGTTTTTGCTGCCTGTTTTTGAAGATTCCTCCCGTAGAGAGACAGGCCCGCCTGAGTCCGCGCTGCGCCCGGCCGGGGGCGACGCGCGGCCCATCGACTTCGGCGAGCCTGGGCCCAGGGCTCCCGGCCGTTCTCGTGGGTTCCCGGGATACCTCCTCGCCTCGGGCTGGCCCCGTCCAGCCTGGGAAGGCACCAACTACAGGGCTTTAATACATACGAATTGTTTTAATATAGGATTTTTAATACATGATTAATTTATGAATGAATGTATGCATGAACTCATCGTTGTTTTTAATACAGAATCCCTACATGTTCAACGCATGATCCGCACGCGGAGCATGTATAAAAAACGGCACTGTATACACCAACGCCCATCCTGGCCAGGGTCACCCTGGGCCCAGGCTCGGTGCACACGCCGTCCTTCCTGCCTTGGGCAAGAAGGCATACACACACCGATCCTGGGCCCAGGGTGATCCTGGGCCAGGATCGGTGTTGGTGTACAGTTGGTGCCCTCCCACAGCCGCCGCGGCCCTCGCCGGAAGCGCGGCAGGGGGGGGGGCGTCGAACTAGGCCTCGTCGCAGCGGGCGGCCGAAGGCCTGTCCCCTCTGCGGCCCAAGACCGGCGCGGCGGCGAGCGAGGGGGGGGGAGGTGGCCCGGGGCGGGGGTCCCCCTGGGGGGCGCCGGGGGCGCGGAGAGGAGGGGGGTGGAGGTGGTGTGCGTCGCGACGCGGAATAAAATGGTCGGGGCAGATGGGGGCACTGGGCGAGAGAGGCCTCCTCGGACAGCGGCGGGGCCTCTCGGAAGCCTTCGCGCCTGCCGAGAGCCTGCCGGGAAGGCCCGCCCCTTCTCACTTCCCCATCGGGCTCGCCGCCGACCGTCCCCGCCAAGCATCGGTGATCCTGAATCATGTCGATGAGACGCGGGGGCAGGCTTCGGATTTCGCCGCGCGTTCGACGACTTCCGAACCCTGCCCTCGCCGCCGATCGAAGTCCCAGAGAGGTCAGAGCTTGAGGGGCTGCAGCTCCCGAGCCCGCTGAAAATGTGTCACCCGACCCCTAAGATGAAGCCAGGATCGGGGAAAAATTTGACCGGGATAAAAATCATACTCGGTTATTCAAATCACCGGGGGCGCCGCCGAACGGGCGCCTTGGGCGCCATCGGCTATGCGAGGGAAGAAATGCGCCCCGGCGCGGATGAAGCCACGGCGCGTATTTGGCCACGCGCACGCACAAGGGAATTCAGCGCCAAGCGCCCTTCACTCCAAAAGGCCCGACGTCAACAAAACCAACTTGAAGCCCCAAGGGGGCCCCAAGGAGCCGGACCGCCAAAACAATCAGGCAACCAACGCAACGAAAAAACACGAAAATGTTTAAAATCGCGTTGCTCAGTGACCTCTTCGGCCATGCAACGCCGCGATCATGTCCAAGAAGGCATTGGAAAAAATCCCGCGCGCGGCCAGGCGACTTCCCCGCGCCGCCCCAAGGTTCCCGAAGCGCGCCGACATAACCTTAGAGAACACCCCGGAAAGTCTTTGGACAATCCCCGCGCCATGCAATATCCGCCACCGAACAATCTCGCGGACACCTAGCGCGCGCGCGGGCGTCCACCATGGATGCCCAACTCCGGTTTCTGAGACAATCGCGCGCAACCGCCTGGGGGCCTCGGCAACCTCGCGATTGGCCCAAAGGCCCGCGGGCCCCAGGGAATCGAAGACCGAGTTCGCAACTCCGGAACCATCGGGCGCGGCGCCAGCCAGTCGCTCGTCTTTGGCTGA